CTTTGATCTATCAATTTTAATGGAAAGAAGAACTTATTATAAGCTCCAAGTTTTCCGACAATATGGAGGATCTATTCTTAAGCCTTATGGAGTCAACCCAGAATATCCATTCTGCCATATATTCATAGCACAAGCCAAGGATTTTCCCTAAGAACTATTATGGTTTTTCTGGTACATATGCCATCAGTATTATATTTTCATGGAATTCAAATACAACGTGTTCAAGGAATTTGATAACATTGAACCAGCTCTTAAAGTATTTTTACTGTGGTTCAAACCTAGAAGATATTGGATAAAATGTTTCAACGATTCCTACACAGCAAAGGTATCCATGTTCCATAGGCCAGTGGAGATTATTAATGGAAAAGTCCAGGCGCAAGCAGAGGCATCATTCTGGTGGAAATTTCCCGTGTCCATTTTATCAATGGAAGAAGAATATAGCGAGGCACAAAGAATCCTTTTCCAGCAAAATAGGTGCATCCCGAGAGAGATATGGCCAAAAGATTGGGCAAGCTATAATTATACAGCACTCATCCTCACCGGGAAAGAGTCCGGGAAGCAGCAAAAGAATATCAAACCCCATACGAAGTCATCCGAGAAAAGATCACTCACGACATCTCCAGATTAAGATTGCGGATTACACCTCTTAATCCAAAGGAGAAAGAACACAGCGAAGAAGGACCATCATGTTCCACACGTTACTACACAAGGTCTTTGAAAATATGCCTAGAAGACAACCCTAGAATCAATGAAGGATAATTATCTAAATCCCTGCTAATCCCTCCATAATCCTACATTACCCACCAAAAACCCCTCAAAAATCATCTACCCATGCCAAGACAAATTTCCACATCTTTCCATACTATCTGGGCCCTAGTTCCACTTGCTTTCACATGCTTCCACATGCTTTGTCACATGCAACACCCTACTTTCACATGCCATCACATGATCCCGCATACTTTCACATGCTATACCATGTATATTTTACCCCTTTCACATGTTTTCAGGAGCTTTTTAGTTGTTTTGACTAAAGTCCTTTACATGCCAAGAGGGGCCCACTTGTAGATAAGTTTGCCATGTAAGATAGGTTTATTTTATAATGTAAGTTTGTCTTGTAGTAACCTCCTAGTCCTATATAAAGGAGGCCTTGTAGTAGTTGGAAGATCATCTTGTAACCTTTGTAAATCTTTTTGTGATATATTACATATGAGTGCTTTCTAAATTTCCCTCTTGTTCTTTCTTTCGAATGGATGAAAAGGCCGGTCCATGTATGAAAATAGAGTAAGAATACTCTAAAAAAGTTAGCTTATTGTAGTACGAAGGTTTTCTGAGTTACAAAACAGCGAACGTTGGTTATAGTACAAAACTTTTCTGAGTTGTGTAGCTTGGCAAGCCGTCCCTTATGGGTTGTTGAAGCCAGCCCCGTTCTAGGAAAACTTTTGCGCTATAAGCAAATTAACTGTTTGTGTAGCTTGGCAAGCCATCCCTTTGGGTTGTTGAAGCCAGCCCCTTTGTAGGAAAACTTTCGTATCTTTGATTTAGTTTGCTCTCTTGGAGTCTCTTGCTCTGTTTCTTATACTGTGGTCGTATCTATGATTTAGTTTTCTCTCTTGGAGTCTCTTGCTCTATTTCTTATACTGTGGTATCAGAGTCAGCCCATCCTTGGAGGAAGGAACAATTTACTAAATATGTCTGAGTCATTTCCGTCATCCTCTTCCCTTGCAAAAATGAATATGTCCCCTACTCTATATAAAACCTTGTCCAAAAAATATGATTACCTTTATAAAATAGATATCCTGCCCGATGAACAAAAAGTATCATCCACTAAACTACCCCTCATAAACCCCTACTCATCTTTCTCCAAAAAATCATTTGCACCCTGGACTCAAATTCGTTCCTTAGTCCAACACAGACCAAAAGGAGTCAAAGAATATGTTGCTGCCTCAAAACTTGACCAGCATCCTATTCTTGCCACTTGAGAGGAACAATTTATCACCCTTCAAATCCCAGATAATTTTCCCAGGCAATGGAGAGATCATGGTTTTACCCATATCCATTTTTGTGCTATCCGAATCGCTTTAACATATCACGGAAGAAAAGGTCAACCTGTCGTAGCTCGACTTTTTGTTCTAGATACAAGATACTTGGAGTACCAACATGCAAATTTGGGTACTGCAGAAGTTACCTTGAATGCTAGGACTGTCTTCATATCTTTCCAAACTTCAACATGTCCCTTTATGACCCATACTTAAGTCCCTTTATGACCCATACTTAACCGAAGCACTAAAAATCCAAGTCCAGATCCAAGGAGCCCCACAAGCAAAAGATTCCATCCAAGCCACTCTTCATCATCAAATGGCGTGGAGGGTCCAAAATCATGCCATGGATCTCTGTCTTCCAGGAGGAGAAAATGCTTTACTCTTAAATATTGATGCTACCAAAGGAAACACCATGTGCACCAAAATACCCAGACAAATTTCTAGAGACGAGCTTGTCAAAATTATTCTTGATTCATGGATCACAAATTATGAAAAGTTAAGGGAACCAGAGGAATCTCTGCAATCTGGTGAACCACCTTTTACCAAAAGAAATGACAAAACCGTTTGCATAAGCTTTGACCATTCCCATCTCAAAAAACCCAATAAAACCATTTTCTCTTGTCAAATGATTCAACCCAAAGATACAACATATACATACCCTGAACCTGACGGAGAGTTCTTCTGGAATATACAAAGCATCATGGAAGAAAATGACTGGTGTCAAGAGTTTGGTGGTACAAATGCCCCTTTACGGGACATTGCCCTTGGGATCTTGGTTGCCATTGCCAAGACTGTCTAGAAGACCCAACTGGAGAATATGATGAACACCATCTATGTCACTAGGGAAGATTTGGCCTCAACAAGGCCAAACCAAAATCCAAGAAAAAAGGGAAAACCACTGAAAAGCATTTTCGAGCAAAATAGAAAATAAAGACCCTTCAATTGGCTCATTAAGTCGTCCAGGCAAATATAAATTTCTTGTTAGTTACAAACCCCAGGAATAGCCAAAATTACCAGAAAAATTCACTCCAAGTTGGGAGGATAGTGAAACCACACCCAAACCCAAATCACCATCAGCTCATACCCGGAATCCAAAAAGCCACCTGAACATAAAATTTCACCAACTCAAAAAACCTCAAATCCCAAACAACCACAGATATTCATGCTAAGCCCTTCTAGATCCAGTCATACCCAATATTTTCGTGCACTTCAACCTTTTAAAAAAGAGGGTATAAGCCATGCTCCAAAAATTCCCAAGAAAAACATAGTGCTACCTACTGGAGAAAAACCCCCCAACAAGTGACATCGAAGCAACAATGAACTTGCAATCAGAAAACTCCATCTGCCAAAACAAAATGCTGAACAACATTGGCAACACCATAAAGAACGTGGCCCATACACAAAACAAAATAATGAGCAAAGTGGAAACAATTGAGAAAAAGGTAGAGCAAACATCGTCTCACCATGCAGGACTAATCAAAGCCTTGGAACTAAGGTTGGCAAATTTACAATATGAGATTTGTCCGCCAGGAACTTCATTTTTCAAATTCTTCCAACAACAACAAAAGGAGACGATTTCTATCAGAGAACAAATTCAACTTTTAAGAAATGACCACTTTGAGACACAAAAGACCCCAGTTTTCCCCTCAAAACCAACCTTCTTCCCTATGTCGCCACAAGCATATTCCCCACCTAAATTGGACTACACCTTTTCTGCTTTTCCACCTACCTCACAAAATCCAATCTCTTTCACCCAACCCTTAAAATAAGAACATGATTTTGATATTGCAAAAATGGTTTGGGAAAGGAAAGATGCTCTTGCGGCGCAAAAACAAACCAAGAAAAGGCGAGATCACGGTGAAAGTTCAAAAGGGTCCAGCCCCGAAAATCTGATAATTTCTGACCAGAAGGCTCCAGACCTCTATGTCTCCCAGCCAAGAAACATATCAGAAGAAGATACCCCATGGTCGGAATCCCTAAATTCATCAGACGATTGTTGATACCCAATTTTTTCCTGTATTTTTTTATGCAAAATACCTTCAAAACGGTCTGTATATGCATATATATGCATATCCCAAGGTTTCATTATTTTTCCTTAATTATTCAAAAAATTTTAAATCAATTTGCTGCCCTATTTTATTAAGAAAAACCAATTATTGTCCCCAAAATTATCATTTTGGTGATTGATTTATTGGATTCTCATGTTTATACTAAAATATAGCTAAGATATTTTTTACATATTTTTACAAATTTATTTAGTATTTTTAAGGATAAAATTGCATAATTGCAATATTAGCCATTTTTAGGTTTAAATTCGTCTCATGTTTATAAAATGGGATTTCATATTTTTAAATTGATAATTATATATTATAAATCATTTGAGTGCCTGATATGGACAAAGTCTTCATCACAAAGCAAAGAATCCATCAGCTTAAAATGCTCAATCAAGCAACCCACAACACCATCATTATAACTTGCATTATCTAAAGTTATAGAAAATATTTTCTTTTCAATTCCCCATTCTTTCAACAGATTAATCAACTTTGGACCCAAAATAGCACCACTATGAGGAGGAGGCACATGACGAAAGATTAAAATTCTCTTTTGTAAAATCCAATCCAAATCAACATAGTGTGCGGTAACACAAATATATCCATTTGATGTGATTGATGATCATAAATCAGATGTCAAACTGATTCTATTCGGAATAGCTTCAAGCTTATTTTTTGCCATCTCTTTTTTATCATGATATAATTTAAGCACATCAATTTTTGCGGTATTTCTTGAAATGGTTTTAACCGTAGGATTCAAGAATGCATGCACTTCTCTAACCCCTTCATATTCTACATAACCAAATGGCAGGTTATGTCTAACTATAGCCTTGACTACAACTTTACGATATTCTTTATGATGAATTGGCGTACCTTGCTTTGATGCTTCAATCTTGTGCTTAGCTAGATGTCGCTTTAAATTTGTTGTTCCAGCTTTTAAGTCAGCCAAAAATATTATCCCACATTTCTTACATTTAGCTCTAAGTCTATTATCAGGATCTGTATCCAATGGCAACTTCTCATAGAAATCCTGCACAACAAAAGTAGTTTTACGTTCTCTTTTTGAACTTAAAACACTTATTTCATTGGACTCTACATCATCATGCTCCATCGACATCTTCTTACACAATGAGATCCTACAGTAGATTAAATACCATAGAATTAGTTATTATTATTGTATTGAAGAACAATAACTCTGTTAACATGAAACAAAGGGAAACCAAGAGTTTGCAAGACGTAGAATAAAAGCAGCTCAGAGCCAGGGATTCAGTCATATATCTTCCAAATGATACTGATGTTGTTAGTGCACGTAAAGGATCTCCATGTAATGAGGAATTTCCCCCAAACATGCTTATAGAAAAGAAAAAATGAGAGAAATTTCCATTTCTAATTCAGTTTAAGTAGCTCATAAACTATGAAACAACAACAAAATCCTAAAATAAAGAGAAATAATACTACTTTTGGAGCAGAAAGGACAAATGTTTGAAACAAAACAAAGGCAGGTTATAGAAATGAGAAAAAGCCCCAAATAGTCTCTTATGTATGAGCGTCGGTGTATTTTGATTCTTATTACATAACCATGGACACAAATAGTCCTTTATCTTTGTGGAAAAGGGCCACTTTTTATCATATCAAATGAAACACATTCCAAACTAACGGAAAGCTCGTTATTTTAACATAAATGTGCTGAACTAAATAGCAAAACGATGAAGAAATCAGTCACCTTTGGCTTGCCCATTTGAAAAGATAACATGAGAAACCCTTGACAAGATCAAACACTTACCTTATCTGATGGCCAAAATTCGAGATCCAGAGAAATCTCCAGCAAAAAACTCCCCAGAGAGAAGGAAGACGCCGGAGAAATGCAAGTTGCCGGAAAAAAGACAGAGACCAGGTATTTGAAGTTCAGAGAGAAACGGGTCATTTTTTTTAGTGCACATAGAGTGGAAGAGAAAGCGTCTGTCTTGTGTTTAGGTTTTGGGAGTTTGACGGGTCTGTTTGGGCGCCTAAACGGGTTAGCGTTGGGCTAATTATTTTAACGGGTTGAAATGGGTTTAGCCCAGAATGATCCATTAATAAAATTCTTTCATGCCCAACCCATTATTTGCTGGGCTAGTTGGACGGGTTAGTTGGGCTCAAAATGCTACCCCTACTCACAGGTACGCAATTGCGAATACTCACATGCAAACGCGAAGCTCAAGCTTCCACCCCAGGCCAACCCCGCTACACAACGCGTTCACGACCCTCACCACGCGAGCGTTCGCGAACTTCACTGAAGCACACACGAGGCCCCCTGAACCCCGTCCAATCATACCAACAAGTTTTCATACCTTAAATCGAATGGCTCAACACCGATAATCTTTATATCAGGGGAAACTTTTTTTAAATATGCCGCAATTCCAGCTATAAGACCCCCTCCACCAACAGGTACAAAGACTGCATGTATGTCATCCTTGAATTGGCGACTAATCTCCATTCCAACTGTACCTTGTCCTATTATAATATCTGGGTGATCAAAAGGAGGGACGAATGTGCGGCCTTCTGCTTTGGACTGAGCTTTCGCATATGCTTGAGCTTCATCATATGTGTCCCCCTTGCGAATGACAGTAGCACCCAATCTCTCACCGGATTTTCACTGCTCAGTAGAAAAGAGCACGGAGTTAAAACACTGGATAATCACCGAATTAAAATAACAGAATGAACTCAAATGGAAGCTATAAAAACCAAGAGAGTCATTCAACAATCCTAACTTTAATTTCTGGTGTAGTAACAGCCATCACAATCACAACATTGCAACCAAGTCTCTGGGCAGCTAATGCAACACCTTGTGCATGATTTCCAGCTGATGAGTATATAACTCCCTCTTTTAACACCTCTCTAGGGAGCTTTGCCATCATATGGTAAGATCCTCTGACCTTGAATGAGAAGACCTGTAAATATGAGTATATGACAATGTTACTGAGACTACTCCAATGTAAAAGATTTGTATTTCCAATTACAAGAACTTCCTCTCTTTTTTTTGGGGGGGGGGGGAGGGGGGGAGGGGGGATGGAAGTATCAACAACATAAGAAATATAGAAGAGGAACAAGCATTAAACTTTCTAAATCAAAAGTTAGAGAGGACTGACAAAAGACACAAAATTAGATAAATCCAGAATGCATAAAAACTAATGAACTTGCTCCCTTTGGCCTAGGATACAGAAATGTAAAGATGAGCTGAATAAGAAAATAGGCAGGCTCTCGTTAGACAAATCCAGAATGCCATTGCATGTTTTCTTTTTTTCTTTCCTCAGTAATTAATCTTCTCCGACCCCAAATCACCCCAGATTTTAACAAGGGTAGATCAAAGCCAAAAAACTTAAAGAGTTAGAGTCACTTTCCTCTTTGAATGAGGATGAGAACTTAGATATTTCAAATTTGTGAAGCATAATCATAACGGAATGGGACGAACTTTAAATAGCTTAGAATCATTCTATCAAAAGTATAAAATAATAGATCACAAGAAAATATTTTTGTGACAAATACGTAGGACTCCCTCCGTCCCATTTTATGTGACATAGTTTAACTGACCATAAAGTTTCAGAAAGAAAGATAGACTTTTACCAAAGAAATCCGCACAAAGAAACAGAAAGAGAACTACAAATTAACATAAAAATATCCAACTTTAACAAATAAAACAGGAATAAAACTGCAAATTAACACCACAAATTCAAATTTTAACAAATATTTTACAATTCTGCAAAATAAAAATGAGAAAATCGTAAGCCTACCGGCTGAAGATCCTCTCTTTTGAGCCACAAATTTACCCCTAACCGCTCAGAAAGCTTAGGTGCAAACTGCAGAGGCGTTTCATCGGCTACCTCATACACTTTTAATGTCAATATTTTTTTCAGGTACTTGTAGCCGATATTACCACGTGGATAATTCGGTATCAAATACCCTGGCTCGCATTGTAAGGAACTCGGGTGTACTACTGGAAGCACTGTATCTGAAACAGACGGGGATGCCTGTAACGGTGAAATCTCCAACGGCTCCCCCGCTATAAGTGCCGCCGGCGGTTTGATCCCCGTCCTTTTTGTTTTCCTAGTGGCGGCGGGTTTCACGGCATCGGAGGTAACCGTAATAAAGGCTGTGCCCGACGTGGATTTGGGACGAAAGTGGAAATTGCGTGAATTAAGGGAATTAAAGCGGGGAACATCCATTTTGTGTGTAGATTGATGATATGTAATAATCTGGCGGTCGTTGGAGATGTGGATGTTCGATGGCGGTAAAGGTCGACGGCTACGGGTTGCAGCGGAGAAAAGAGGCGGAGCAAATGCTACGGTAACAGAATTTTGAAAGCCGCGCCCCAGTAGCCGGACCCCGCGCAATAATCTTAATTTCGATGATACAAAAAGTAAGAAGTTAAATAGAATGTGATACTCTCACGTGACACTATTTCTTTTAACTTTATTTAAAAACATATTTTTTTTAAATAATTTAATTTTAAACTTCTCATTTTATTGTTAATACTATATATAGTCATATTACGACATTTGTTTAAGATCATAAGTTTCAAAAGTGTACTTTTGTTTAAATTTTATACTCGATCTATTGAAAACAACTTCTTTACTTCAGGGGTGGCTCAAGGGGTAGGCTAGTAAAGCATTTGCTTTAGGCACCCTAAGTTTTGGGGCCCCAAAAATATTTTTAATTATGAATTTTCTATCTTATTATTGCTTAGAAAATATTGAAGTTTATACAAACTATTTATAAAAGTAGAAATAAGGACTGTCTATTTTTTAACAATAGAAATATTTTAGAACTTTGAATTAAAATGCTCAAATCTTCATATTGGTAAATAATATTTTTTACAATAGGATCCATGGTAACACATTGTAAATACGTGGCTAACATCTTAGCAACTTGAATTTTCTTACCAATATAAATATTAGTACTACGTACTATATTTTGTAAGATAACTAAATTATAGACAAAAAGAAAGGAAAAACCCAAAGTAAATATTAGTATTACATTTTGTAAGATAACTACAATATAGACAAAACAAAAAGAAAATAAAAGGCTCCTTATTAAAATTTGGCTTTAGTCCACAAATTTTATTGAGACGTCCTTGCTTTACTTCCACAAGGTAAGTATAAGGTTTGCGTACTAAGAACTTATATTGTGGGAATACACTTGGTACATTATTATTATTGTTATATTAAATTTTGTAGTTGGTCAAACATATTTACACAAAATGAGACAGAGGAGTACAGAAAACCAAAAAAATTAAAAATAATACTCTAAGTATTTGTTTCAGTTAAAAAAATAAATTAAGATATTGAAGTTCAATAGAGTATTAACTAAAATCGAGCTATTCAGACGATGTTACTCAACCACAAATTTGTTCACACAGTAACTCAATTACAAACAAGTGTACTCATGGAACGAATTTGAAGCTCATCCAAACAAAGAAGCAATGTATACGAAGAATTAGTCAACAATCATGCATCTACACACGTGCATGCATGCAAATTGCTAGAGTGAACTCAACAAACTGATAACAAAAAAAAAAAAAACTCAACAAACTGAAAATCTGAACAGACTTTAGTTTGGTGCTGAGACTGTCATTTAGTAAAGTTTCAGGCCATTTACGATTGTTTAAAGGGTACTGTGTTATATTATAAAGTATAAAGAAAATGAAGATTTTTCTTTCGGAGAAAACAAAAATGGACAGATCGGATTCCACCATTGGTTCCTCATCCGACGAATACCATTCCATTTACCCAGATGAACCGTTGAAGGTTGTTCCCTTTGTTCGCATTCTTTGGATTGATAATTCTGGGATACATAGACGTCGTGTAAGCTTTTAATTACCTTGTGCTTTTGTGTTAATTACTTCTTTTTATTTTAATATTTCGAATGAATTAATGCTAGAGATTACAATTGTTTAATTTTATGCATTTCAATCAGTGATTCATTTCTTGATTGACATACTAAACTGAGCAGAATCAATCCAAAAATAATTACAGAGTAATTTAGGTTTTTTGTTAAGTCACTGATAGATATCAATGAATATTTGGTCGCAAAAAATACTAAAGTTGAATGAAGAGAAGAGTCCCCACCTATTCCTTTAGCTACTGTTTTCTATCTTTAGCTAACTTAACTATGGAATGGTACCTAGACTAAAGGGGAATGTCGAGAGATTTTTTTTTGTTGTTGCAAGATATCTGATCAGAGACACCAGCTGATTTATATTTTCTAATTTTGCTCCTATTTTAATAAATTTGAAAAAAATTAATGTGGTTAAGAATAAATACTATAACAAATTATGATTAAGAATAATCAATTAAATTACAAGCAGAAAACACAAAATAGAGATTTCTTTGCCAATAATCATAGGAAGCTCAAAAGTGTCTACTAGTTTCTGAGATAGAAACTAGAATTCGAGTTAAAGTGAATTCTAGAATGTTCTTTCGACGGAGAGGCGATGCTGGGTTTTTGACGGTGGGCTCGCCGCGGTTACTGGGTAAACGGGTCTAAAATTTGACGGCGAAGTTTGCTGAAAAGCGAAAACTAATTATTTGGAGAATCAGTTAGTTTTTCAGTAATTGAGAGAAAGAGGCTTCTGATATTTGTTGAATTTTGTGCAGGTAATTCCAAAAGAACGCCTGGCCTTTGTGAAAGAGCACGGTATAGGGTTAAGTCCTGCATGTTTAGCAGCACTCAGTTCAGTATCTAATGCTCCAGCAGAGGATTCTGGTCTCAACTATACGGGCATGATCAGAATTATTCCTCATTTATCTACCAGATGCAGAATCCCCTGGTACTACTTTAAACCTGTTTATAAATACTTGATATGTCCTGCCTTTTTTCTTTGTTCTCCTGAATTTAAGTCTTAATTTTAGCTTATGTATGTTGTAGCATGTCTTTATAGATTTCCTTTATACTAAATCATAGTATATGATAAGACCTCTTCGTTTATTTGAATGGTTAGCTATGTCGGATTTTGTCAACTTTTGTCTGTGCTGTTTCTCAGAAACAATACAAAAAAAATTTCAAGTTCCTGCATTGTTGTAACTCTTAGAAAATCATTTTCAGGATCATTTTCTATGTTTGGTTGAGTATAAATGTAGGTGACATACAGCAACTGTACTAGGTGTAGGATGTGTTATGAGAATAATTTTCTTAAAAGTTGATAATAATGTCTAAGTATTGGTTAAAGTGAGACTGAATAAGAGTTAACGTATGGTATGTGGTCAGTTACACAGTCACTAATAGGAAGTTTAACATAATGGAGTGAAACTAAATTGGATTTGAGATAACATTATTGAGTATATTCTGAAATTATGCATATAATAGAGGGGAAAAGAGAAAACCAATAATCAAGAGGAAATCTGGGTATATATCATCCCAACAAATCATTTTCCAGCATAGAAGAGTTCTTCTTTTTCTGCTCAGAAACATCAATTTTGGCTCTTTTTAGTGTAGTAATATGTTTTCAGTGGCTCATGATTCACTTGCTCCGCAACCCCCATACTATCGTCCTTCCAGTTTATGTTTTGTATTTGTTACTAAACTCAATTATGCAAGAGCTGTAATTGTAAAGTATGAAAAACTGATGCTTTTTTCTCTTCATGAAATAATGTGATATATTTTAAGAATGTGAAGGAAACACAGAGAACACCAATGCAGAGTATCTTGTAGTTGATTTGTCTACAATTGTACAGACATTGTGTCCAATTGTTTATTTCTGAATGTATAGATCACTGTGTGGCGAAGTTCAAGTGAGATAACAAGTTTAATCCTAACTTGGCCAGATTTTAATTTTTCCTGCCATTATTGTTTCAATGGCAGAAACATAGTAATCATGTTTAGTGTGTATCTTTTGATCCAGGGAAAAGAAGCAGGAAATGTGCTTAGCTGACATGGTAACTAAACCTGGTAATCCATGGGAATATTGTCCAAGAGAAGTGTTTCGGAAAGTCTCTAAACTTTTAAAAGATGAATTTGACTTGGTATGTCTAATATCTTTTGTGCAAGAATTAGAAAGTCTTACTTGGTATGTCTAATATCTTTTGATCTGATGCATATTGACATGTTTCAGGTTGTGAATGCTGGCTTTGAAATTGAATTTTATCTTTTGAAGAGTGTGATGAGGTAGGTATTTTGTTTTAGAGTTTCTCATCTTTAAAATGTTACACTAAATTTGTATAAACAAAATTATAAAGGAACGGCAAAGAAGATTGGGTGCCAATTGATAAGACCTCTTACTGTTCTACATCAACATTTGATGTTGCATCCTCTATATTAGAAGATATCAACACACATCTTCAAACAATGAATATTTCAGTTGAACAGGTAAGTTTTGCATTTCCTTGAATGCTTGCTTGCAAATTGATGTTTCTCATGGTGTCTATGCACGCAATACTGCATATACTAGGAGCTTTTAGCATGCATTTCTCTATTTATTTTCATGAAAAAGCTTGACTGCTTGTGTAATGTATTAGTACCTTTCTTAATGATAGAACTACATGTATTTATACTGAAACAATACATTCAAAGAGACTAGGTGTATGGAAGAATACAGAGCTTTTTATACAACATTAACGATCTCAGCGAGAGAAGAGTCTTTGCTAACAAATTAAAGTTGATTGTTTATAGGAGCATATCGAACTTATAAATCTCCTGAAGTAACTTTTTTAAGACATCTATACTTGGTATGAGCTTGTTGTGCAAGAACATAAGATAGATAAATTATACTAATATTGCCATGGTAATAGTAGAAATAGATCAAAGTTGTACGAGAAGAAGAGAATCCACCTCCCAATAGCAGTATGTGCAAGAGAGAGAGAGAGATCTATATTATATTAAAAGCACGAAGGCCCTTAACGAAATGTCGTTCGCCTTTTTTATCCCTTTAAAATAGTTTACATTGGACAAAGTAGTCATTTAATTATATTGCTAATATTTAGCACTTTAAATCAACTAAAATTTTATTTAATGTATTTTTCCTTATTTGAACTATGTAAAAAGTACTAACATTTAATGCTTTAAAATCAATTAATTAAGATTTTACCTTTTATACTAACAATAAAATCATAAAAGATCACGTTGAAAAGGAAAACTATTTTGTAATTTGATCATCATTAAACTTGTATTTAAGTTATACATTTTAATGATCAAAACACTCTTTTTCACTCAAGTCCGATAGGTTTGGTTAGTTGTCGTTTCTTTTCTACTTTGTTTTGCCTTTTATTTTGGTTGTGATTCAAGCCTTATTCGTAGTGATCTTTTTTTTTTTTTGCTTGCTTTCTTTATTTGTTTTGTTAGTAATTTTAGTCTCATAATCCCATGTAACTATAATATGATTG